CGGCAGCCCCGACCATCCCCTCTGCACACGCTGAAGCCTACGCATGCGCCGCTTTTAGGAGACTGAAGCTTTGCAGCTGTGCACCGGGGTCTGTTGCGCGGAGATATCGCACAGCCTATGGCCTGTCCCACTCCCACATCTGTTCTGTCCAGGAGCTGTCCCAGCACCCCCTAAACGCCATCTGCCTTTACCTTTGACCTCCCTCTCTTGATGGTGCATGAGTGGGAAAAACAGACTCCATCTCAAGTCTCGAGCTGACCTTTGACCTGCCCAATGGGCTGGGGCAAGTCAGTTTTCATCTCTCTCCCTGGTTTCTCATTCGTAAAATAGAGATAAATAGCCCCTGCCTCGTAGCCTCGGGGGTGCCTAGGGACCATTTGTACTAGGCAGAGCTGGTGGCAGTCTAATGAGGACAGAGTGCTTCTGAGTTGGTCTTACACAGTCATCTTCCTGGAGCCTTCCAGCCACCCTGCGGGGCAGACACTAATTGTCATTTCATTCTAGAAGAGAATGTTCTTTTCTCTAGAAGTCTAGAAGTGACTTGCCTAAAGTCCCATGGGAGTGGAGGAGCTGGGACTTGAACCCTGAAAGCCTTCATCCAGAGCTGGGAGCACTGCCCTTTGATGTTCAGTGCCAGCCTAGTTCCTGACACAGATTAGGGATCAAATCTTGCTTCTGTCACTTACTGCTGTCCATTGTTAGACAAGCCGTTTACTCCCTCTAAATCTCAGTTTCCCTATCTGAAAAATGGGGATTATTACCCTTTCAGTGTAGGGTTGTTAAGGGGAGGGATGGATGGGTGTTAAGTCCCTGGCACCAAGAAATGCTCAGTGAAAGACAGCTGTTACTGTCTAGTGTTAGTGATCCTTCCTTTTCCTCAGGTGGCCACTTAGGGACACAGGCCAGTGCCCAGCTCGGGAGGAGGCCACCGAAGCTGTTAGGGCACGTGGCAGCCACGAAGCTCATGGGTGTCTATCATCTTTGCCAGGGGATTCATTGGTGCCCCCTGAGGTGGACTTCGACAGGCTGCTGGCCAGCCTAAAGGACCTCAGCGAGCTGGTGGTAGAGGGTGACACCCAAGTGATACCAGTTCCCGGTGGGGCGCGGCTCCATGCCCTTGAGCCCATCCCGCTGAAGCTCTACCAGAATGGCATCATGATGTTCAACGGGCCCTTCCGGCCCTTCCATGACCCTGCCACACAGGTAGGAGCTGGGGGTGGAGCTCTGGGGGCCCTGCTGCCTACCATTAATTGCAGATGGTGGAGCCAGCTCATGCTAGGCCCAACCTGGTCTCCACACATCCCCAGGCTCCCACTCAAGTCCAAGGCTCTGAGTAGTTCCAGAGTGTTAGGCCCTAGGCTGGGGCTACTGCCTAGGTCCAGCTGGCATCGCTTTCTCCCTGCTGCAGCGCTGCCTCCGGGACATACTGGATGGCTTCTTCCCTTCAGAGCTCCAGCGACTGTACCCCAATGGAGTCCCCTTTAAGGTGATGGGCTGCTCCTCATCCTGACCCTTCCCTGTGTGGGGCTTTGGAGAGAATGGGGATAAATGGCTTTCTTGGGCATCAATCATTCTGAAGGGAGCCACTTGCCTGAACTCAGGGGACCCCAAGGGGATGATGAAGTCCAGGAGGAGGGTGAGCCTGAAGAGAGCTGGGAAGAGAGTGAGGCCGTCCTGGCCACAGCACTGGGAGATTCCCCAGGCTGAGCAGCAGGCAGTGCCCTCTGCTGACATGCTGAGGACACAGCCTTGGCCTCAAGACTATGGACTTTCTACCGCTCCAATCAGGACACCTTGACAGTCCCGGGTCTCTGAGGGGTCTATGCACAACTGCCCCGCTTCCCCCAGAGGGTCCTGAAGCTACCTGGTGGGGGTGGCAGTGCTGGACCTCGGGCCATAAGAGGAGGCAGTCTGTGGCCAGTGGTGTGAGAATAACATGTTGCCATGGGAGCCATGAGGCAATAGACTGCAAGGGCTTGTGAGGGAGTGTACGCCACAGCCCTGGAAACTGAGGCACAGCAGCGGGGTGTTTGAGGCATCCAGGCCAAGATGAGGCCTCAGAGCTATGCCTTGATGGCATAAGTGAGGGGACATGTGCAGTGACAGGGTCTGTGCTGCAGGGCCTTTGCCCTCTGCTGACAGCTCCTGGGAGGGCCCTCCACTGTGGCTTTAGCTGGCACGCGCGAGGGTGTGCTCGAAGCACGAACTGTGGGTCTCTTGCTCTCTCCCAGCGCCTCAGTGTCCTTATCTATAAAATGGGGATTTGCCTTATTCTTGGGGCCTCTGGATGGGGCAGGCAGGATGGGGTTAGGGCCCAGGGCTGAAGGCCAGGGCTTGCCGCTGTCACCCTTCCTTCCTGCCAGGTAAGCGACCTGCGCAATCAGGTCTACCCAGAGGTTGGGCTGCGCCCATTCCCAGGCAAAAGCCGTGTGGTAGACTGGCAAAGAATGCTCGAGGCCTCGGGCAGGGTGGAGGAGCACCCAGGTAAGCGGGGCCCCAGGGCCGGGCTGGGGGTCCAGGAGGCTGCGCAGGACAAGCACGAGGTGCCTCCTCTACCCTTGCTCACAGTCCCTGCCTGGGCCAAGGTTCCCAAATGCCCTTCCTGCAGGGATGACTGCTGAGAAATTTCTGAACAGGCTCCCTAAATTTGTGATCCGACAAGGCGAGGTGATTGACATCCGGGGCCCCGTCAGGGACACCTTGCAGGTGAGGCCAAGCCAAATTTTCCAGTCCTCTTGGGGGCACTTTACCACCGGCCCGGCCCAGGGTGGCAGAGCAGTGTCTTGTGCGCAGGCTTAGCAGTGTGGGCTGGCGTGAGGGCCGATGGAGAGGAAACGGGAAACTGGAGAGCTGCCAGGGCGCCTGGCTTGGCTGTAAGTGGGGTAAAGTCAGAGTCCAGGCTGCGGGGTGTCAGCCCCGGCCCACGCCACGTCTTCACGGAGCGGCCCTGGGTGCCCTGCAGGCCCTGAGAGAACTCATCCTCTTACTGCCATCCTGCTGATCCTCCCAGGTCACCACCTGAGAAAGGTGCCAAACCTCTGCTCCTCGGGGTTCTTCTGCCACCTTCAGCCCCACGCTGCTAGTCCTACCTGTCCTGGCTATCCGCAGCACCTCTCCCAAGCTCATCCTTTCTCTCACTCCCACCACCCACCACCTAATCTATGCTCCAGTGTCTCCCAGGCAACCTCTCCGTGCCGGCCTCCCACCCCCGCCCCTGCCCCTGCCAGCCACCCTCCCACAGCAGCCTTCCCCATCTATTCCTGGATAAAACCGATTTCCTTCTGGCTCTCAAGGCCTATCCTGCGTCCCTGGGCCCTCCTGACCCCTCAGACCTTTCCTTTCTTCCATTCCTTTTTTCGGCTGTGAACTGCTGGCAGTCTCCCAAATGTATCACTTCCTCCAGGACACTGTCCCTGGCCTCAGGATCTGTTCCCTGGTGTTGGGACCATCCTTACCCACATCCCACTTTTAAGGACTCCTTCCCACCCTCCAGTGTCACGCCCCCAGGGATGCTTTCCCAGGCCCTGCTGGGTAGGCATCTAGCATGGCTGTCATCTGTGTGGCTCGGGTCTCTGCCATGAGATGGTGGGGGAAGGACTGCTGGGGAGATGATGCGGCTGCCTCCTGGGGCCTCCGTCCACTTCCTCCTTGAGCCTCAGTTTACACAGAGCACACCATCCCTTTGGTTCACTGGTCTCCATCTCTTCCTGCTCAAGGACGAGTCAAGGGTTGGGGGATGACTCAGGTGGGGCCCAGGCTCTGTCCATGCTCCATGGATGCCTTCCAGAACTACTGCCCATTGCCTGTCCCGATCCAGGAGATCATAGTGGAGACACCTGCCTTGGCGGCCGAGCGACAGAGGTAAGGGCAGGCAGAGAGGTGAGGGCCTGGGGTGGAAGGGAGCCACTGGGACACTGAAGGTCTCTAGGCCCGCAGGAGACAGGAATCGCCCAACACACCAGCACCCCCACTGTGCATGCTGCGTGTCAAGTCTGAGAACGGGGAGCAGGCCTTCCTACTGATGATGCGGCCCCAGGACACTGTCGGCACCGTGCGTGCCCTGCTAGCGCAGACCAGGTGGGAACAGGGAAGGGCTGGGGGCTGCGGGGAGGCTCCGGCCCTGTGGCCCAGCCTGATCCACTCTGCTGGGCCCCCAGGGCCATGGATGCTGCCACCTTTGAGATCTTCAGCACATTCCCACCCACAGTCTACCAGGATGATACACTCACGCTGCAGGCCATAGGCCTGGTGCCCAGTGCAACGCTGCTACTGCGGGCACGCAGGGCCCTGCTGCCCAGCCCTGGCTTTGGCCCCAGCCCTGAATAAAGTGCTGCCCCCAACACAATCAGCTCTACAAGGCTGTCTCCAGGGGAAGGGGTAGGCCCAGCTGGGCCAGGGAAGGGGCGGTGCTGACCCTCCCCTCAGTAACTTGAGCCCCAGCTGGCTGGCTGGGTGCTGGGTCTTTGTCAAGGTTCCTTTCTCCCAGAGCTAAGTGGAGCCGGTGAAGGGAGGGATTCTGAGAAGGGAGTGGCAGGCTGGCTGGGTTCACGTTCTCAGCCTCAGCTGGAGGCAGGAGAGCCTCGCTGTGTAAGTGTGCATCGATACACACAGACCCACAAGCTTGTGAGGACACTTCCTCAGCACCGCACAAAGCCACTGCCACTACACCCATGGCCTCAAATTTACACAACTGCAGTTGTGCACCCACACCCACAGTATACCCACACTTAGCCGTCTGCTCCAACACAGGCAGGCAGCCACTCACCGACAGGCATGCTAAGGGACACTGGCACATGCACTTGGACTGGAGGTGTCCCATCCTTTGTCTTCAGAAACTGCTGGTCCATACAAGCATGTACATACCAGACATAGATCCAAAAACACACGCTGACACGCACACAGAAGTAATGGACACATAAGCACATCTTCAGCACAATCACAACTACCAGCCTTACCCAGGACAGGGACCCAGAATGCCCAGGCCACAACCAAACAGAGAGTGCCAATGGAACGGGCATTTAATTGTTCTAGGGTGTTCCCAGGAGGGGGACTGCGGGGCCTTTGGCAGAGCTCTTGCTGATGGAACTAACAGAAGTTCCCACCAGCCAGCGTCAGGCAGGGTGGCAGCCACAGGCTTGGCTGAAGACAGCCAGCCCTGAGCTGTTACTTTAAGACAGTTTCTGAGACTAGTAGATAAGGAATGTTGCGTTGAAGGGAAGGAAGGGAGCTACCGAGAGGGAGAAGGCTGGGGTGAGGGATGCCATGGTAAGAAAGTCAGGAGTGAAGGGCGCTGGTCACAAGGCCCTCCACGGCTGGGTGAGACCTGTGGGGAGAAAGTGGTGCCAAGTCCAGCGGGAACTGAGGGCCGGCTCGATTCAGGCCAGTTTCAGGAATTCTTGCAGTGTGTTCTGTTCCACAGCCTCCACGAAGAGCTCATAGTCCTGGGGGAGAAGGACGGGGTGGTCAGCTGAGGCCCAAGTGTTTTTGGGGGACCCTTACTGGAGTCCACTGACCACACGCCCCACACCCCAGCCCCCAGGGCCATACCCCGCAGTACTGGTCCCCGTTGACAATCTGGGGTGGGGTGGCCTTGGGGTTGCCCGCCAAGGCTCGCATCTCATCCCGCAGGGCGTTGTCCTGGGAGATGTCCACTAGCTGGTACTGGATGCGCTTCCCGTCCAGGATGCGGGTTACCTCGCTCTGCTGGGACTTGATCTGGGGGCGAAGGGTGGGAAGGGAGTGAACAGGGTGGAAAGAAGAGGAAGGCTCTGGGCAGATGTGACCAGGGGCTTTTGTCTCCTCGGCTCTTGCCCACCTAGGGGAGGGTTGTGGCCACGAGCAGTTGGGAGACTCAGGCTCCGGTGGCACAGAAAGAAGGACCACCGTGGGGTGGGGATCAGCAGGCGGGAGCAGGTTAAGTTCTGGACGGAGGGGCCCGGGGAGAGGAACTCAGCGGGGTAAGGCAGGGCAGGCCGGGCTGGTGGCACGCTCACTCCACGCGCATGGTGGGGGAGAGGCTGGGGAGGGCAAGGACGAGCCAGGGAGCGCAGAGAATGGGCGTCCCGGGGTTGGGGGATGGGCGTGGGCGGTTCATGCTGGGGATGCCCAGGACTCAGGATACCCAGCGATGGGGCTCGTGATAGGGTCGTGGCCCCCAGACCCCGCAGGCCAGGCCAGCACCTCCTGGCTCCCCACCCTGCTCCGCCCCCGTGGTGGGGGTGGCTCCCGGGCGCCGGGTCGGGAACACCGGGAAACGGCCGCACGCTCCTCAGCTGCAGCCCGGCGCGCACTTACTTCTCGGGAGCCGGTGACCGACGTGCTGTAGACCCGCAGGCCGCTCATGCTGCAGGCGGACAAACGCGCGGACAGATCGAGGGGTGGTGGTAGCGGCAGCTGCACTGCCGGGAGACGACGCCGCCGTGCTCGGGAGCGGTTTCCTTCCTGCTCCGCCCGCGAGTCAGCGTTCTCGGGACCAATGGGTGACGCGGGCGGGGAGGGCGGGGCATGCGCGACAACGCCCGGCGCTAGAGATCCCCTCCCTTCCCCCAGGGTTGGCCTGGCGCCGGCCAGCCACCGTGAGGACCCCGGTTCTCTGCAGCTGCGTTGTCTGCCCTGTCAGCCTTCCCAGACCAGAGCCCCACCGGGAGAGGCTGGGGAGCGACCAGGTGGCAGGAAGGGCCGGAAGGTGGCGGCAAGGGCTTAGCAAAGGGCTCCCCAGTTCACCCAGGTCCTGGTACACAGAACTACCCGCCCCCACAGGGTTAAGTTGGAGCTCCATCATAGTATAGCTCAGCTTGGGACTCTGGAAGAAGTGTATTTCCAAACCTAAAGTTTCTGGATAGGCGAACCCAGACAGGGCTGCCCCTGCCAGATTTTTCCTACAGCTCCTCAATCCAGGCAGGTTTAGACAAGGGTGGCCGGAAGCAGGGGCCACACCCTCCAGGAGCCAGGAGACCGAGGCGAACAGCTCTGGGAAAGGTGGGGGCAAAGGTTAATGCCTGGACCCCGAGCCTTGGCTCAGGCTGGCCCCCAACTCCATGCTGCCGTGGTACCCCACGGCTACTCTCAGCATTCAGAGTTCAGAGGCAGCCGGCAGGAACAGGAACCAGCCTCGACTATTTGCGTGGCTGGACACAGAGCCCCTTAGGGTTGAGACAGTCCATAGTCCCTGAAGACAACCCCAGCTCTGAAGCACACAGTGCCTGTTCTGCTGAGAAACCAGCTCCACACAAAATCCAAAGGCCACTGACTTCCTCACAGAACCCCGTCGAAACTTTCCAGTGTCAGCCTGCTCTGACTCAGGGCAGCTTTGCCAAACAGAAAGTAGTGTGGGCAGAGATGCTGTTTCCATAGAATGACAGAGAAGCAGAAGCGGTACAGATATGGACACAGTCAGATCTGCTGGAAGTCCCTCCTTGCTGCTGCCTGGGGAAAAAAACAAAGTGAGGGGCAGAGTCGGGGGGATAGTGGTGATGGATGGCTATGGAAAACCAAGCATCTGTTAAATATTTTATTAAATATTTTATTCTGTAATCAAAATAGGCATTACAAACCAGTTGACATAACAAATATTCATATAAATAACTGCTTATAAACTTTACAAGGAAAAATACCCCTGAGCATGGTGGCTGGGCTCCCAACACAGGGTGGAGACCAACCAGGCAGCTCTGCTTTAAGAGGCACGAGCCCAGAGGCTGAGGGGGTGGCCAGCCAGGCGGGGCTGCTCTGAATGGAAGGGATAAGTCACTCCACAAATAAAACACAAACTTGTGAAAACACTTAAGAAGGAGGCTCATTCAGGCCCCAGAGTGCGGTCCAGGATGCTGCCAACAGCCCAGAGTCTTGTGGCTGTCTCTAGGCTCTGGAACTGCTTTGCTCCTCAGAACCCACACGTGGCCCCTGCTTGGCTGGGCTCTGGATTTAGAGGAGGTCTGGGGCTGGCCCCACAACCAGATGCTAGCAACTGGGAGATGCTCCCTAAACCAGGAGATAAGAAAAACCAGAAAGCAGAGGGTCCAAAGACCCAAAACAAACAAAAAAACCTCAGGAAAACAGTGAAAGCTGTATCTTAAAGTTGACCCATACTGGGTACTCTGAACTCTCCTGGAGACCAGAAGAGAAAAGGGGAAGAATTCCCCCAAACATGACAGGCACAATAAGGCCTGGCGCAGGCCCCAGGCCTGGCGGAAAAGGGTGAGCAGCTTGACAGTTATTCTGTGGCCTTCTGGGGGGGAAAATTCTACCCAAGCCCTGAACCACAGAGAAAAATTTACACTCAAAGCCCAAAAAAGGGGTACCTGGAAGGCCTGAGAACAAAGGAGAATGCTACACTGACCACATGGCCAGGATTCCAGGGACACAGGGCAACTGAAGAGTGATCTCCAATAAAGATAGCACAGCATTAAAAAAAAAGGCATGACAGATTAAGGACCCCTAACTGTAGTCTCTGGGGGCCCAATGCTAGTGGCTACTGTGCTAATGAACAGGTCACTCTGAGGCGTCTATGAGGAAAATAGCCCTGAGAAAGAAGCTATGGGACTGGGTTGAGAAAAACCCAAAAGCTAGCCCAGTTCCCCAAAGGGTGGTACACGAGGCCTGAGAATTTTCAAATGGTCATTGCTAACTACTTATCTCAATCTTTTCGGGCCTAACGAGTTCTAGAATCAGCAGGACCAAGGTATAGAGTAGGAATGAATGTGGACCCACCCTGGAGGATGGAAAAGAGAGGTAAGCAGCTTGTTCACCTTCAATGTCAGCCTAGAGCTGGGAACAGTGAAGACTTATCAGTTGAACTTGTAAAAGTTAGTAACTCACCCTCAAAAGGTAAATTAGGGTAAGAGGACAAACAACTAAACATAACCAAGAAAGGCAAAGCCAGTGTAGGGCAGGGGCAGGTACACTCCTCCCTTCAACAGTCCTTGGTCCCCAGATGCAGGCTCTTCCCTCTCCACCCCTCAGGCTCCTCTCTGGGAACAGCAGCAGACAGGAGGCAAGACTGTCAGGGCTGGAACCTGCTCGCCAGGCTCTTAGCAGCTCAGGTCCTCCAAAGGGAATACAGCCTGTCCAGCCCCGGCACTCCTCACTGCGTAGCACAGTTTTCTCCCATGTCTTGGGCGTATCTGTCTGACATGGTGGTCCTTAAGTCCTCAATGTCCCGACGTAGCTGTTGAACCTCTTCTAGTTTCCTCCTGATCACGTCTGGCTTCTGCAAATCTGGCTGTGTCTCTCCTGGGCGCTGTGTGGCTGAAGAGGAGAGCATTTCAGGTGTCAGTCAGCTGGTAGGCACTTTCTTCAATGTGTGACCTGGGGGTCCAACCTAGGGCTTCAATTCGGGCATGCGAGGTCAGCTGCTCTACTGCTGTGCGACATCCCCAGCCCCAAGGCCATATTCTTTTTTTAAAAACACCGGGGAAAGGCCTTGTAACTTGCTACCTAAGACCCGCTTTCTGTTCATCCTTCATGCACACACCCTGTTTACAAAACTTACTGAAGGCCTACTCCACAAAACATAAATTCCCAGAGGGTAGCGACTAGTTCTAGGTACCCTGCTGACCCACATTACCATTAGGAAAATTAGATGCCTTATGAATAAAGGCCCCCTCTCAATGGTCCCAGACTGGCCTGAGGACTCACAGTGAATGCCCAAGAGCAGGGACAGATTGGGGTCGTGGCCCTGGGCTCTCTGGGTCACAATGCTGCAGACAGCCTGCAAATCTTGAAGACAATTGGCCAACTCCTGGTGCAGCTCAAATGCTAGCTGGGCTGTGTCTGATGAAGATGGGGACCTTTGTTGGGCCAGGCGCAGGTGTTCCTGTAGTGTCAGATTCTTCTCAATCAGGTCCTGGTTTTGCACTGAGAGCTGAGCAGAGGGATAAGCACATTCACTCAGGGGCAGGGAGAAGTATCTATACATACGTGTGCTGCAGAGTGGGAGGATGGGGAGCTGTGGATGTGTGGAGGGGGGATATGAATCACAGGCAACACCCTCCCTCCAACAGGATTAGCACCCTGGCCTTCCCACCAATACCAGGCCTGGTTCCTCCTGAGGACAGGATGGGACCACAGGGATCCAGCGTGGAGAAGCTGCTTCTCAGTAGACTCTGAGTCATCAGCCTCCAAGTTTCTATCCAGGAACTAGAGTTGCCCGCACCCACAGGAACTCTATCTGAAGCCAGTCCCTCGGCCAACTCTGTTAGCCAGGCTATTAGAGATGGCCTAATGTGAACAGTGAAATCTGAGGAGACACTGGTTTCAATCTCTCCCTGCCACCCTGACCAAAGTGGCCACCAGCCAGCCTGATCATAGGCTGTCAAAAAGAATAAAGGGGGCACAAAAGATAGTATGATAGTGGTTTCTGGGTATGGGCTAGAGAAGGTGGAGACCTGGAGGACACAGGGCTAAAACATGCCTTGCTTTTTCAAACCCTCTCCTAAATGGAGTTAGGTTTTATTACAAAGACCTGCTGTGTCTTTGTCTCACTTTCCCTTTCCCTGACAAGTTAATCAACTCTCCTTTCCTCTATTGTTTTTGTTTCGTTGTTTTTATAGTACCTGGCATTGAACCCAGGGAGTACTAAGCCACACCCATCCCCTACTCCCGATCTCACTCCGTCCCAACTCTTAGTAAGTTGCCTAGAATAGGCTCAAACTTGTCGTCCTCTTGTCTCAGCATTGTCCCAAGTACGTAAGATCACAGGTATGCGCCAGGCTTCCATTCTGCTTTATACACTCTGAACAGAATTCTTCCTCCAGTCTCAGCACTTCACCTGACTGGGCCATGTGACAATCTTAGCTCTGGGAAACTCCTTCCTAGGCATTTGGCCAGTGAACCCCGTAGCCCCCTGGTGACAGTTCTGTTTGTTACCTGAAGATAACCATATTATTAGCCTTCTTGAACCCTTCTACCCAAATCCTACAAAGCTGTGACTACAAGACAAAAGGAAGAGAGTAACTTCCCACATCTAGAAAGCCCTTCTTGGCAATTATGGCCACTCTAAGGGTTAGGGCCTTTAACATAAAGGACAATGTCCTGTTATCTTCTCTCTCCTGTTAAAAAGCTCAGCAAGGACTTAGCCCACACTGGGGTTCTTCTTAGGGAAGGGAGGGGAGAGAGCACACAAAAATCGGTTTTGTGGAGGCTGTACCAAGAGGCCTGGCCCATGCTGCTCACCTCCTTCACAGCTGTACGCAGCTGCTGCAGAGCTGTCTCCCTCCGCTGGGCCTCCTCCTTCAGGGCCTGGCTTGTTCCTTCTTCTTGAGCCATTTCCTGCTCTAGGCTCTGAATTCCATGGCAAAGTGTTGGTAGAGAACACATCAATAGTAGTAAGTATGATTCAGACCGTATCACTTTGGGCCTGGACTATACAATATAGTGAAGCCCCATCAGACCCACACACTGTTGCTGACAGATTTTAGAACAGTGATGGTGAACCTATGGCATGCATGCCACAGCCAGTTGTTTGTTATCACGAAAAGCTCTAAAGTATTTGTCATCACTGTTTTCATTTTTTGGGGGCGGGGGTGGGTACCGGGAATCAAATTCAAGACCTTGCACTTGCCAGGCAGGCACTTGTGCTGCTGAGCTATATCCTCAGCCCTTCCATCACTATTTTACAAGATCCCTGATCTATACACAACTTCTCATTTAAACTTTCTTTTCTTTCTTTTTTGAGGCAGGGTTTCACTATGTAGTGCAGGCTGGCCTTGAACTCACTTATGTAGCCCAGGCTGGCCTCAACCTCACAGTAATCCTCCTGCCTGAACCTCTCGAGTGCAGAGATTACAGGCATGAAGAACCACAACTGGCTTTGTTTTTGGAGATAGGGCCTCACTCTGTAGTTCTGGCTAGCCTTGAACTCATGCTCCTCCTGCCTCAGCCTCCCAAGTGCTGGGATTACAGGTGCGTGCCACCATGCCCAGCTTCTCATTTAAACTCTTTGATAGCCTCTGACCACATGCCAAATTGAGGTCAGCTTCTCAGCAGGGCATTTGGAGCCATTCAACTGCTGTTACTTTACTAGCCCTCTCTTTACCTTCCACACAGCTTCCATTCCTGCCACACTGAATGACTGGTCTTTATCCCCAAAGCCTCTAACTCTGAAGTCTTTGCTTCTTTCCCTTTGTTCAGACTGCTCTTCTGCTCTGCCTGTCACTCTAGCAAGTGCCAAGGCCTCCCTGAACCTTCTTCAATTTGCCTATCAGTTCCAGTTAATCCTTATCCTATCTGTCACTCATACTTCTACCTCAGGTCATGAATATATCTGCTTTAGTATTCTGTGGGCTATACAGAGGTCTTTCTTCTCCATTTGAACACAACTTTTTTGCAAGCAGAAAAGAAGCCATTCAGTTGAGTTCATTATTTGTTCAGCACCTCCTACAATAGGTACTATGGATACTGGAAAGGACAATGAATAGTCCCTGTCTGTTAGGAGCTAAGAGTCCAACGCTGTGCATGAAATGTTTTGACAGATGGAAAGGAGGAGGGCACACTCACAGGCATCTCATTGTGTGTGTGTGTGTGTGTGTGTGTGTGTGTGTGTGTTGGTCAAAATTACAGGGAGGGTTATACTTAAAAGTTTATCTTCTTACCTCTCTTTCTATTCATTTCAACACCTTTCCCAACCACGAAACTAATATAAATAACATATAAATTATTTTACAGTTTTCCATTTTGTATTAATAAAAAATGTAACTATCAAGGAAAATACCTCATGACTATGAAATACCCAAGATGACCATGATCAGTCCACCTTATTCTCAGAAATTCATCTGACATTTTTTTTTTTTTTTGGTTTTTCTCCGGTACCGGGAACCGAACCCACGACCTTGCGCTTGCCAGGCAGGCGCTTTTGCCGCTGAGCTAAATCCCCAGCCCTCATCTGACATTTTAAATTGCCTGAATAGTCAAAGGGTAAGTGTAAAATTTTAAATGTCAGACTTAGGGCTAGAGTTATGTAGTGAGTGGCTGGCCATGTACATGGCATATATGAGTCTTCAGATTCAAGCTCCAACACCAAAAAATAATAAAATGGTGGGCTTTTTCAACTTCTGTCAAACTTCAGAGTTCCTGGAAATTTATTTTGCGATCCACTAAAAACTCAACTAAAGACCTGGCATTTAATTTTTTTTTTTTTTTGGTACCAGGAATTGAACTCAGGACCTTGCACTTGCCAGGCAGGCGCTTATGCCACTGAGCTACGTCCCTGGCTTAAAATTTTTATTTATTTGTTTTATCTACCAACCCACCCACCTCTTTATTTCTGCAGCATGGGGATAAAACTCAGGGCTTTTATAGTGAGCTATATCCTCAGGCCTTTTAAAAAAATTTTAATTTTGAGACCGGGTCTCATTAAATTGCCCAGGCTAGGCTCCAACATGCCACCTCCTGCCTCAGGCTCCCACAGTGCTGGGATTACAGGTGTGTGCAGCCACATCCAGCTTTTATTTTGAGACTGAGTCTCACTATGCAGTGCAGAATGGCCTGGGATTTGCTATGTAGCCCAGGTTGGTCTTGAACTTGTAATACTCCTATAATACTCCTGGCTCAGTCTCCCCCTAAACCTGACACCTTAAATTAATATATGATATGCTGCCAGGCTTGACTACCTCCTTACAGGTAGACCTGAAGAATGTGAACTAAAGAACAGCCCGATCCACACAATGGCCAAGGCAGGACTACAGCCAGTATTTCATGTATTTTAGAGTCAAAGAGAACTTGAGTGAACCTGTTTCGCTCAGAATTTCTTGAAGAACCCAATTCCTCCAGTTTCTTGAAGAACCCATCCCCTCTCTGGCCTACAATAGAAATCAGGAGCTGTCTTTGGTTCATCCCTGTTCTTTAACTTCTACATCCTGTCACTCGCTATTCCTCCTAAAAAGTCACTTCCATCTGTCTCTTCACATCTCCTCCCTGCTACACTGTTTCATTACACCTCACTCCGAATTCTGCAAGACTTTTCATGGTGCCTCTCTCCAGGCTGCCAATCTGCCACATGGAACCCCGAGTTACAGACCGGACATGATGCCCTGACTAAATGCTCTAATAGAATTCCATCACCCACCTGAAGATGAAACACCAACATAATCAGACAGACAGGGCCTCCTTCCATAGGCTGGACCTCCCAGCTTTCTACTCATTTCCTTAACAATAGAGTCATGCACTGCAAAATGTCATTCTGATCCATGAACTGCATATGTGACAGAGCCCCATAAGATACTATCTTAGTTTATGAAAGTACATTCTACATTTGCACAATGATGGAATCACCTAAAACCGTTTTTCTCAAAAAGAAAAAAGGTATCCTGGTCATTAAGTGGCAGACGACTACTTCAACAATATCAACCTCTTTCAAGTCCATGCTCAAACCATGCTGTTTCACACCTCCATATTCTTCCTATTGGAATTCCAGGGCCATCCTTCCTGGCTCCTGTTTTTTGTCTGGCTAACTACTTATCCTTCAAGGCTCAGGATCCCCAGAAACCTTCCATTGCCCTCCCTTCCCCCACTGATTCTTCTGTGCTCACCCCCAGGGTGATGTGCACACTTCTTTCACAGCACCATGGTGAAGCTTCTCTCATATCTGTCCTACCTACAAGACTGCAGGCTCTAAAGCACTGACCAAGTTTCATTCTTCTTGTACCCCTAATGCCAAGCAAACTGTATAGCAGAGAACAGAATGAAACGTTAGGTGAATTCTAGGGTTTCCATCATTATGTCCTACCCACCACAATCCAGTGATTCATGGCTCACCTGTACTTGTAAGCGCAACTGATCCATCTTCTGTTGCTGCTTCTCCACAATCTGAAAGGCAAAATTATCAAGAAGGCTCCATATGCCAGGCTGATGCTGCAAGAGACCATGCCAAGATGTGTGGTTTGGGCATCAGACCCTCTAGCTACATTGTGCAAATGCAGAGAACAGGGTCAAGACTAATTAATTACCACTACCTACAGAACTCTTACTCAGACTTCTGATCTTGACTATCTAGCTTCATACTCCTATGATGTCTGTGCTTCAGTCACACAGAGGTTTACACAGGAAAGTAGTATGGAGTCATGACCACTACTGGAGGTAGGAGGAACCCACACCCTAATGATTGCAAGCCAGTGGAATTAACTTTATACAGGGCCAGTACATACTGTGGTTGTTTGGTAAGGAGATGACTAGAAATTCATTTTAATGAAGTCTGCCCTGTGAGGGCTGTGATGATTATTAGTGAGAACTACGGTCACACTGACTATCCAAGGAGAGACCCTGAGGAGCCCCAGTCTCCTTAGATGTTCTCTGAACCACTTTCGGATCTTCTTTGCTGATGTGCACTGTCTCACCAGCAGGCCATGGACCTGATAATTGAGAAGCCACGCCACTTCACTGACTAGAACTCTGTCTAATACAAGAATGGACCTGAGCCACAACTGAAGTGTACCAAGCTGTGGTACATCATTTTGGGTCATCTAGTCTGGATGCTGAGAGGTATGTTCCCCCTGAATTTTTTGTTTTGGTTTGGTTTTTTGGTGGTGGTGGTGGTACAGTAAGTTCCTGACTTATGAAGGAGTTCTGTACTAGAATTGTTCATAAGTTGGATTCATTCATAAACCAACAAAATGAATCTTATAAAATATACCTGTGAAAGTTTGCAACTTGAACGTCTATAAGTCAGGGACTTACTGTACTGGGAATTGAACCCAGGACCTTTGCACTGAGCTACATCTCAAGCCATTTTTTAATTTTTATTTTGAGATAGGGTCTCACTAAATCACTAAGTTGCCCAGGCCAGGTTTGAAATTGTAATCCTGCTTCAGCCACTGAGAATGCTGCTATTGCAAGGATGTGCCAACATGACCAGCTCCTCTCTGACTCTGGTCCATAGTATTTCCGATGAGTACAGTCTGCCTATCATAGGTTGAATGCCTAAAATGCAATCTTACTAGGCAGAGGCAACTTTACAGAAAAGAGAAAAGCTACTGGTAGTGGATGCTAGGTAGCCCAAGGCCAGGAATTCATGGGTTTTTTTTAAGTACACAATCATTTATTTATTCATTCGGTACTAGAGATTGAACATGGAGCCTTGTGCATGCTAGACAAGCACTTCACTACTGAGCTACACTCCCAGCCTTTTCATGGTTTTTTTTGTTTTGTTTTGTTTTGTTTTTTTGGTACCAGGAATTGAACTCATGACCTCAGGCTTGCCAGGCAAGTGCTTATGCCGCTGAGCTTTATCCCCAGCCCCTCTCCCAGCCCTTTTAAAATGTTATTTGGAGACAATCACACCAAGTTGCCCAGGCTGTCTTGAACTTGTAATCTTTCTGCCTCAGCCTCCCAAGTTACTGGGATTACTGATGTGGGTCACCAATGCCCGTATCTGGCACTATAATCTCCTCTTTCCTCCCAGCCTAAACCTCATCATAGCCTAGACACCCCCGCATCACCTTTCGAAGGGAATCACATTCCTTCTGCAGGGACTCCATTTCCACTTTGGGAGCTTCTCCACCAGCTTCTTCCACAGACTGCTCGTCTTGAAGGCTGAAAAACAGTGGCCTCTTCAAAAACTCTAATGTCAAAAATAATGTGGCTCTGACTTCTGGTTTTGCTGTTTACTTTGTGTCTGAGACAGGACATTTACTTAGGCCCCTCTAGGCTGTAGTAAGGATGACATCTTAAGTCTGCTGTACTGTAGTGTGAGCTGTAAGAAGCTACTCAGTGTATGTTGATTGTCTGCCCTATAAGAAGAATCTACCAAAGTGCCATTAATTCTCTACTTGTCAAAGGCTCTTGTTTTGTTTTGATACATAAAAAATAAACATTCATCACATATATTTAGACTATAAAAGTCATACATGTACACTGTAGAAATTTTGGAAAATACAAAAGAATTCTTTTTTTTCTTGGCCGGTATAGACTAGGGTAGAGCCAACTTCATCCCCTAACTCTGTTTCTGGCTCCAACCAATGGCTTCCTCCAGTGGATCCCTCGTAATCACTTCCAGCATGGCCCATTTGCTGAGATAAACAACAGGGTCACTGTGGTTAATATGGGATGAGAAATCCAATCCAACCATTAGGAACTGGATTTAATCCAAGAGGCTACTGAAACACAGCCATCATTTTCAGAAACTGCTATTAATACGAAGGAGCTCCCAAGACACTCTGAGAGCTCATTATGGCATACTGTTTTGTTCTCAGAAATTGTCCTGCAATTGAGAGCAATTCTAGGGCTGAGAAGAAACAGATGCTCTTGGTAGCCTGTAGCATAAAAGGTTCAAAACATAGATAACCCCAGACCTCAGTACCAGGATCCATTTTTCAAAATATACAGATACCCTGTTTCCTAGTTTATAAAGTATTTTCATTCATTATATATGAATCTATTTTTATGTATAAATGTATATATATTTTTCAAGGATTCTTATATGCCAGGCACTGAGTTGAATCCTCCCAAAAGACACAGTGAGAAATGCCCATTGAGCCACCATACATACATTCTAATCCATCCCATAGTCCTTGCAATCATTAGCTTTTTTATCATCCACAATCCAAAGAAAACAAAACTCAAAGATGTAAAGATGCATACAACCATCTAAAAGTCACACAGGTAAGAAAGCAGGGTTAGCAAGGACCACAACTGAGCTCTCCCCTCCTTTCCGCAATCCCACAGGGGCATTTACTTATGTTTAGTGGAGCATTGTGCTTCTCTCTGTCTCAGGCTTTCCAGCTCAATCTCCTTCTCTCTGCAGGTTGCCTGGGTCTCCTCCAGCAAACTCTCCAACTCAGTCACTTTCTCTTTCAGCTCTGTGGTCTTCAACTCAGATTCCTTAAGCTAAGAGACAGGATCCCAGCTTAGATCAGTAAGTCATAGTAGACTCTGGATACCTCAAACCATTTTTAGTCCAGTTTCAGAGACGTGAACCTAGACATGACTTCTTCAGGATTTTCCTTCTAGGAAGCAGCCTTTCAGGATGTGCACAGTAAATAATGAGAAAGTCCTCCTGCCTGGCCACTCAAGTTTTGCCCCAGGTATGCTCAGACATTGCTACTACCTGCTGGCTTTGCTTCTGATGATCTTCTAGTGTAGGCAGGTCAGCCAGGTAACGCTCCAAGGTCTCAATACGCTGCTGCTTCTCACGGTTCTGCTCAGATTCCTTCTGACATTTTTTTTTCAAATTATTGATATGTTTATCACGACCCTTGACCTAGGGAAAGAAATGTTGAGAGTCTGTCTCCATTCATTCCTCTAGGACCCTGACGATCAACTTTTTTCAAAGGGACCACTGTCTCTGTTCTTGAAGCTATGCATGTTGTTCCACTCCAATGAAGGCAGGAAGTTCCGAAAATTGGTCTACAGAATTACTGAAAGGGTCACAGGAATCTCTTACTTCCATCCAAAGACATGTGGTACTAAAAATGATCTTTGAACTTCAGTCCAAAAGCTTTACCCCAGGTCTAATTCATATCCTTCAAGCTTCAAACCTGTGATTCTAACATTTCAATGTGCATTAGAATCATCTGGGATGCTTAATGTAAATGCTGAAAAGCCATTTTTGATTTAAAAAAATAAAACTGACCACAGATGTTTATCTTTTTTCTCTTCTAAAATGTATGTATCAAATGACAGGAAGGAAATATCAATCTAAAAAAAATTTAAAAAAGACAACAGGGGATGAGAAAAAGTGTTTAAGAGATTTTTTTTTTGGAGACAAGTCTTACTCAGGAGGGTGAGGCAGGAGGATCTCTGCAAGTTTAAGGCCAGTCTAGGCTATGTAGTGAGTTCAAGGCCAGCCTGGACTACTGAGCAAAGACACTGTCTCCAAAAGAAAAAAGGCCAGTCTCTCTATGTGGTTCAGGCTAGCCTTGAACTCACAATGTAGCCCAACCGACCTCAAACTTGTGATCCTCCTGCCTCAGCCTCCTGAGTGCTAGAATTACAGGCATGTGTCATCATGTGTGGCTTGAGTTTTAAGTTTTTAACATGTTTTCAAAAGATGAAAAGTACTGGATCTTTTTGAACTTTAATCCTGAGTTTTCATTAAAAGATATTTGCTTTCATTGTTTTCTTCTTTAATTCAGCTTCCTGAGTAACTGATATTACAGGCATGTGGCACTTCATCTGGCTTAAATGATCTTATCTCACCCCATTCTGGACACTTGGGAACTGAACCCAGGACTTTTAGAATAAGCTACATTACCAGGTCTTTTTATTTTGTTTGAGACAGGGTCTTGCTAAGGTACTGAGCTGCCCAAGCTGGGGTCGACCTTACAATCATCCTAGCTCAGCTTCTTGAGAAGGTGGAATTATAGGCATAAAGCACCATGCCTAACCCAAGTAATTCTTAAAGTCTGAGAAGTCGGGTTGTGTGGCACATATCTGTAGTTCCAGCTACTCTAGAGGCAGAAGGACTGCTTAGGCCTAGGAGCTTCAAATCAGCCTGGGAAACACAGCAAGACTATATCTTAAAAAAAAAAAAAAAAAAAAAGGTGAGAATCACTGTTCTAGTTGATTTTGATACAAATGTTCCAGAACTAAACATCGCCAAACTTCTCCCTCAAGAACATGGGCTTTAGAGGAAGCTCTATGGAAATTCTAACACTGGGAAAAATAAACTCCCAAAGTAGCACACATGTGGAGTTTCTAGATAGGGTGCGATGAAAGCAGACTGAGTGGAATAAATTTACCATAGGTATTCAAACATCTCGCAACAGTGCCACCTGGTATGACTACACAGGCTGGTTTTCCACCTAGGACAGCTGGCAGCACCTTACAACCTGGGACAGGTTTTCCCTGCCTCAGGTTATTTTTGTGAAGATGAGGCAGAAAGGAGGGGTTCCATTTCCAGTAAATAGGTCCTGTGTGAAGCCCAAGAAGGGTCTCACCTAACTAGCTTCTCTTGGTTCCAAGAATGGGGCAGAAACAGCTTAGGCTGTTGGCAGAGAGGGCTGACTGCCAACACCCTTGTGGATTACAGAGCCATCAACTCCTCAGCTCACCCTTTCTTCCTGTTTCTTCCCCTCCTCTGAATGCTTATGTAGTGTCACTTTGAGAGACTCTCTGATGAGCTGGACTTCAACTTCTGAAGCAGAAAGTTTCTTTTCAAGCTCGATCTTTTCTTTGCTCAAGGCATCTGTCTTCTGTGCAAACTGTGCACGTAAGAAAGTGTTCTCTCGCTGCAATTCCTGCCAGAAAGATACTTCACATGTTAACTGTTCTCTACCCTTACAACTTCATATGCTGTACTTTACTTATTCTCAGCACACTTCATGGTCAAGACCACCTTTCTCCAAGCAGTGCTTCCCAAAATGTGGTATAAGAACTAACAGTATTAGCATCACCTGATGGTAAAATTTGTTTAGGAATCCAAATTTTAGAGCCTTAGTCATAGGCCCACTGAATCAGAAACTCTGGGGATGGATCACTGTAATCTGCATTGTAGTACACTCTCCCGGTGATTCGATACATAATACTGTTTGAGAATCACTGCTTTAAGGCAGTATCTGAGGAGTTGTAGTATACAATAGAAGAAATGCAGGACAAGACATCACAAGACTTGGGCTTGAGGCCTGACTTCCCCCACACATTCACTACATGATCTTAGGCAAGTACTGTCTCCTTCCTGGAGTTCAGCATTTGTCCTCAGTAAATTAGAGGACTCAACCAGATTTCTCCTAAAGGCCCTTCCCACTCTAACACCCTGATTCTAAAAGATGGAACACTGCCTTAATAGGCCCACTATGTGGCAAAGCCAGTACTAGGACCTATCTAATATTCATCATTCAAAACCCAAATTGTGAAATCTTGGTTAAACAAGCATGCTTCACCAGGCATAGCAGCACATGCCAATAATCCCAGCAATCAGGAGGCTGAGGCAGGACTGCCGTGAGTTCATGGCCAGCCTATACTACACAGTGAGACCCTGTCTCAAAAAAAAACCACACACACACACACACACACACACACACACACACACAAAAGCAGTTGCTGGACATGGTGGCACACGCCTGTAATCCCAGCACTCAGGAAGCTAAGGCAAGAGAATCACTGTGAGTTTGAGGTCAGCCTGGGCTACAAAGTGAGTTCAAGGGCAGCCTGAACTGCATAGTGAAAGCTTTTCTCAAAAAAAAAAGAAAAAAAAGTAGGCTTCTTTTCAACAACTCAAATCCTATACACACTAATCTCTATAAGAATATGGTTTTCTTCAGTTGCTCCTAGCATGGAAGAAAAATGATAATCACTCTAAAATCTCCCTTACCCTAGTCTCTCCCTCCATTTGGGCCAGGGCTCAAAACATCATCGAATGCCAGGAAGTTACCATCTATTCTTGTTCTGCTTTTCTTTCCTTCCAAGTATGTCCTGACACCAAGGCATCCAGACTTTCACCTGACTCAAGCCTTTTCCATCCTCACGAGCGGAAAACAAAAGGTGCTTTATAATATGGTTACTCTTTGATCCCTTTTGTATCTCTTGGATATCTAATGGTGCCAAGCACAAGGAAAACAGCTGTGACAAGAAAAATGCCATCCTGGCTGCCAATGCTTACCTGTAGCCTCAGCAAGCAGACATCCCCAAAGGGGGCAGGGTGACCCAAAAGAGCACTGTGGACTTGTAGTTCACTCTCTCGCACTTTCTGCTCCAGCTGAGAGATATGTTTCCTCTGCCTGCAAAAGCCAGAAGAAACACCTCTGGGTCCTAATACTAAGCCCCTTGTAATACAAGCCCCTATTTTCCTTAGACAGATGGGCAAAGATCCCTGCTATATAAGCAAAAACTTTGACTCTGGACATTAAATTCTGCTGAAGGAAAACGAATGAGAAATAGGACTATCCAGGTACAGTGGCACATGACCATAAGCTCAGCACTTTGGGAAGCTGAGGCAGGAGTATCATAAATTCAAGCCTAAAAAAAAAAAATAAAAACAAAAAAAACAACAACAACATAAATTCAAGCCTTAGGCAATTCAGTGAGACCTTTTCTCAAAATTAAATACATATGTACATAAATGGGACAAATTTTTACAAAATTAAATACATACGTACATAAATTAAATACATACATACATCCACTGGGATGTAGTTCAGTGGCAGAACAGCCCCCCAGTACCACACACACACACACACACACACACACACACACACACAACAAAGACAAAGATGACTGACAGAAAATGAAAAAAGATCAGCCGTAAGAAATCAGCTAACCCATGCAAGCCCCTGCAGAGACACAGAATTTGTGTTTCACAGACACAATAGGCTACTGATCAACCTACCTCTACCATAAGGCAAGGTGTGAGCCTGAACACAAGGGACCGGACTGCCCTTGGGAGGACCTCATTAGGTGCCCTCACAGGGACATGGGAGAGGAGAGCTGGCCTTGTTGCCCCCTTGCCACCTTACTTGTCAATGAGAAGTTCCTTTTCCTTCAGAAGGTGTTCATTACTGTTCAAGATGCTGATCCACTGTGCTGGTTCTATGGTGGGCAGTAAAGGAGCAAAAGCACCAGGATGATGGCAGATGGCTCCATTCTGAAGCTAGAAGACAAAAAGGACAGAGGGGCTTGATCTTGACTCTAGGCACCTAAAAACATCTGAGTAGTACCTCGCTGGGTCTGGAATCAAGGTCCAGTTTGGCTCAGCCTGGTAAGGTCAATGTTTATGAAATAATTTTAGCACTGATGCATGACTGGAAAGAACCTGCCAGAGAGGTTTCTGCCAACTGAACACTCCTTGTTCAGAAAGAGTCTAGTTTCTAAGGTCAGTTATCTTTTATTATCTGGCAACAGAGGCGAACTAGGACCTAAGATGTCCTCACCAACCAGGGAAGGTAAATACGTCCTGCTTCTTTCCTTCCTTCCCACTCTTTACCTGCACAAGGACATAAAAATAAATACAAAAGTGGTACACTGAAAAGAACACAGGGGTTCGAAGGTGACTTTTAAACCTTAGCTCTGCTACTTATCAGCTTTGTGACCCTGTACAGATTATTCTAAGGACCTGGTAAGTTCCTATATTTTATTTACCTCATCAGGTAGCTATGAGAACTAAACAAAACTCTCTACATGAAAGTACCTACTCTAGTGATTGGTACATACACAGTCGTATCTTGGTAAGTGATTGCACTAAAACTTGTTGAATTTTGTAGTTGGTACATTCTGAATTGAAAATTTTGTCCTGGTTTTGTTGTTTGGTACTTGACATGCAAGCTGGAACTAGTGTTGACTGCCTTATGACTTGCTACCCTTTTCAGCCAAAATAATTTGTCTGGTACTCCTTTTTTGTTACTTTGAGCCTCCCAGAACCAGTTAAAAACAACAAGTATCAAGGTACCTTTTTGGATTTTCCCTTACAGTCTTCTACTCTGATAAGTGTATCTGTTGTTTGATCAGACCACTGACAGGTTCAATGGCCCAGAGCTCACACACTTTCATTTCCTATCTACAGATACCTTATTTCTTATTTATTTAGGTACTGGGACCTGGACTCAGGACTCTGTGCTTGCCAGGCAGGCGCTGTGCTACTAAGCTACATCCCCAGCCCCATCATTTAACAACTGTTCTCTTTATCCTGTAATTTCAGTACTCAGGAGACTGAGGCCGGAGTACTGCCAAAGAGTTTGAGGCCAGCCTGGGCTACACAGTGAGTTCAAGGCCAGTGTGAGCTATATAGTGAGACCTGCCTCAAAACACACACACACACAAATATATACGGTAAGATGGGTGTGGTGGTACACACCTATCATCCCAGTGCTTTGGCAGGCTAAGGCAGAAGGATTGCAAGTTTGAGCCTAGCTGGGTAATTTAGTGAGACTCTGCCTTGAAAATCAAAATAAAACAAAAACCGTTATAGGGTAAAGGTTATACAGTTCTAAGAACCATGCACAACCTACAAAATCCAAGAAAAGAATGGTTTCTACCTGCATTTGCTCCATCTGTAAACGGATTAATTCCAGCTGCTGCCGACAAGTACTAAGTTCACAAGATTGCTCTCGAGGATGCCAAGGGTCAGGACTTGGTTGCCACACCTGAGAGGATAGAGGCTTGGAGAGCCCAGGAGCAGGCTGGAGTCCCAAAGGGAGCACTCCATTGCTGCTAGAGTGTGGTCCATTCCTCTCAAATACTGTCCCACTGCCTGGCGCCTTCTTGGCCTCGGGTAATACTTTATACAACTCCTTGTTGGGATCAGTTCTTGGGTTGTTGAAGTGGACTCGGTAATGGGGATCTGAATAAAGTGTATCGATCATGGCCGACTGGTTGAGGGTAGGTTCCATGCTAGGAACATCAAACTTCCTCATCTCTTCTTCTCTTTCATGGCCCACGGCTGGAAACCAGTGAGACTGCTCAATCCCATTTTCCCCTGCAGCACCACAAAGATACATGAGATCTCTAGACAGGCCTGGAGAACGTTTCACTGCACCAAAGTCTCCATTTCTTGTCATCCCCACACTTTCAGCCAACCCTGACAGAGGAAGTTTGGAGGAAGAGGATCCAGCGGGCGTAGAATTTGGCTTGATAGGAGAGGTCCCCAAAGTAGAAGGCATCACATGGGCTGTTGGAATGGTTATGTGGCTTTTAATAGGCTGAAAAGAAGGACTGCCACTTGAGCTACAAAAATCTGTGGAGAGAATAGTCTTCAGTAAATAAAAATTGAGGCAGCAAACTCTCCTGAGTTTGGCTGTTACGCCAGATGTTCTCTTGCCTGTCCTTGCGCTGGGCAGACAGGGCACTATCATTAGAAGTATAAGGCAGGAAGACAAAGCAACTTAACTGATAGATGTGTGTCTAAGATTTTAAATGCAATACACAAGGTAAACCAACAAAGGGTAACAACAGCTTCATTTTTAATTTATACTCTTTTGTACTTGATTTAAAAACCTGCAGTCAATAAGCAAAGCTGAAAAGTTAACTTAAAAAGAATAATCACTTACTTTAAGGGAAATGGTTTAGGTCCTGCTCTTCTAAAAGGTGGAAAACTCTACAAACTATAATCCAGTCTAAAAATATCCTTTCCAAGGGGGTGCAAGAATCATCTGTAGCCTCCTAAAGCTCCCCAGTGAAAGTGAGCAATGAATCTGGACTATCCGAAGAATAAGACGAAACAGACAGTCCCGCTCAGTATCCAAGCAAGGAGCACAGCATCTGAGTCAGGATTCTGCCCTCTCTCCCACACCCCAGACCTGACTGCCTGGATATGGAAGTTATTCTTAGTAACTCTCAGATTTCACTCTAGCACAGTGAGCACTCAAGTCAGTACACAGTGAAATCCTCTATTTTATAGTTTGTCTTTCACATTTCTCTTGTTTGTTTTTAATTTTTCCTTCAGACTACATTTGTCTTTTCTGTGACTTGTCTGGTCTTGGGAGACAACTCTAATCAGCCTGGCGGCAGAAGGTTCACATTTCTGTCTCCAATTTTCAAGTGTACTTGGAGGATTACAAGGTTACAAAATGAATGTACTGGGACAGTGGGTTGCAGATAAGATGGGACTGTAAGGACACAAATCTACCATTACTTTTAACAGGTATAAGACTGAATAAGGAATCTGGCATGGCGGCATGTGCCTGCAATCCCAAAACTTGGGAGGCTACGGCAAGAGGATTGCTACAAGTGCAAGACCAGCCTGGACCACACAGTGAGTTCAAAGCCAGACAGAACTGCATAGTGAGACCCTGTCTCAAAAACAAAACAAAACAAAATAACACAACACACAATCTTTGTAACAGTGTAAATTTAAAAAACTAAATACAGCCAGTCAATTTACTGAGGGGAAAATCCAGACCAATGTTTGATTTTTAAAAATACCTATTACTCACAGGGCATGGTGGCGCATGCCTGTAATCCCAGCACTCAGGAGGCTGAGGCAGGAGGATCACTGTGAGTTCGAGGCCAGCCTGGGCTACAAAGTGAGCTCAAGGCCAGCCTTGAGACACTGCATAGAGAGACACTGTGCCCAAAAAAGGACAAATAAATAAATAAATAAATACCTATTACTCAAAATGAAAAGGTCCCATTATTGTACATGTAGAGAAAAATCTTAAATCAAAATTAAATAAATACAGCTGGGCATGTTGGCACAAACCAGTAATCCCAGCACTCAAGAGGGTGAGGCAGGAAGACTGCTTTGAGTTCAAGGCCAATCTGGACTACACAGTGAGACCTGGTCTCAAAAAAAAAGGAGAGGGAAGCTGAGGGCAGGGCAGGGGAAGGGAGGGAAGGGGAGGGGAGGGGAGAGAATAATAGCAACATTCTTGATTACAAAACTTATGAAAAGAATATTACAGCCAAGGCTAGGGGTTTAGTTCAATCAGAATCTAGTAACCAGCTGAGGGACCTTAGGCAAACTGTTTAACACTAAAGGAATTTCTGTCATTCACTAGCAACAAGGAGTTAGACTGATTTTTAAAATCCTGTCTGCTATAATTCAGCCGGGTGTGGTGGTTCACACCTGTAATCCCAGCACTCGGGAGGCTGAGGCAGGAGGATCGAGACCAGCCTAGGCTATAAAGTGAGCTCAAGGTCAGCCTGAACTGCATAGCGAGTCCCTGTCTCAAAAAGACAAGCAAACAAACAAAATCTATAATTCAATTTTATACAATATCAACTGAACACAATTCATATATACACTCAGTTATCAAACTATTAAAATTAGTGACAGGTGTCTAAGAATTACTATTAGATGGGGGTTTTTTCCTCTTTTTCCTCATTCCTTTTTTTTATTTTTTCCAAACATTTCTATTCTCTTTTATTTTGTTTTGTTTTTCTGTTTTTTGAGACAGGGTCTCACAATATAGTTGAGGCTGACCTTGAACTCAAACTTGTAGCAATCCTCCTGCCTCAGCCTCCCCAGTGTTGAGATTATAATCTGCACCACCACACCTAGCTATTTTTTTTCTTTTGCAATGCTAGAAATCAAACACATGCTAGGCAAGCATTCTACCACTGAGCTATACCCCTCAATCCCATTCTTTACTTAAATAACTTTGAGATGTAATGCATATACTATAAAGTCACATACTTAAAGTATACAATTCAATGATTTTTGGCATATTTATAGAGCTGTGTAACTATCACTACGATCAGTCTTTATATTTTCATCACTGCAAAAAGAAACCTCTTTCTCTTTAGCAGTAGAGCACCATTTCCTCTAACTTTCCTAGGTCATTCACCTATTTTTTGACACTTTATTTAAATGACCATACAGAGGGCTGGGGATATAGCTCAGTGGCACAAGTGCCTGCCTGGCAAGTGTAAGGTCCTGAGTTCAATTCCCGGTACCAAAAAAAAAAATTTTTTTTAAATAAATAAATAAATAAATGACCATGCAATATGTGACCCTGTATTCCTGGATTTTTAAAAAAATTAGCATAATGTTAAGGTTTGTCCAACTGGCAGCATTTGAGTATTTCTTTCTATTACCAAATAATATTCTATTGTACTGTAGGGATATACTACTCATCTGTTCATCAGTGTGAACATGTAGGTTGTTTCCACTTTTTGACTGTTTTGAGAAAAGTTGCTGTAAGTATCTGTGCATAAGTTTTTGTATGGATTTATACCTTAATTTGTCTGGGGTATATACTTAAGAGTATAATTACTGGTTCATTAAAAATCTTTATGTTTAACATTTTGAGGAGCTCCCACACTACAACAACTCCAACATTTCATATTCCTACTAGCAATATATAAAGGTTCCAACTTCTCTACATTCTCACCAACACTTGTTATCATCCTTTTGATCATAGTCATCCTAGTAGCTAAAAAGTAGATATTTATTTATTTTTAATTTTTATTAGTACATGTGTGTAGTACATAATGATCACATTCACTGTGAGGAATTTGTACATGTACAATATAATTCTTTTTATGTCCCCTTCTCCTCAGATATGTATTTAAATGACATGTTAAAAGTATCAAAATGACTAGCTTTGTGGTTATAATCAACTCATTCAGTCACTTTGAAATTCAGTTTTTCATCTATAAAATAGAAAAAGTAAAATAGTTCATAAAGGGTCTTTTTTTTTGAGACAGGGTTTCACTATGCAGTTCAGACTGGCCATGAACTTACTTTGCAACCGTGGTTGGCCTCAGATTCACAGTGATCCTCCTGCCTCAGCCTCCCAAGTGCTGGTACATACAGTTCTTACAGTATTCATGAACAAATGTAGAAAAATTTAGCATAGTACCTAAATCACAAAGTATGTAACAGTGGTTATTATCATTAAGTCTTCTGCCCTCTAGAAACTCATCATCTAGATAGGAAAAAAATGCCCTTATAAAGTACTATCTGGCAGTTTGTATTTAGTTTAAGTAAAAAAATACAGCCAAGCACGGCAACACAGGCCTGTCATCCCAGCATTCCGGGAGGCTGAGGCAGGGCATGTTATAGTCCAGCCTGGGTAATTTAGTGACTTAGTGAGACCCTGTCTCAAATTTAAAAATTTTTTTCAAAGGGCTCGAGATACAGCTCCATAGGAAGGCCTCGGGTTTATTCCCAAGTAACAACAGTGGAGAAAAAAGTGGCAGAGATAATAAAGATATAAGAACTGGCCATGAAAAACAAACAAAAAAGAACTGGCCATGATGGCACATGCCTGTAATCCCTGCACTCTAGGAGGCTAAAGCAGAAAGACTGCAAGTTCAAACCCAACCTAGATAATCTAGCAACTTAGTGAGACCCTGTCTCAAAGTAAAAATAAAAAGGGCTGGGGATATATCTTAGTGCAAAGGCCCCGAGTTCAATCCCCAGTACTGCTAAAAAAAAAAAGTTATTTCAGGGGTAGGGATGTAGCTCAGTGATATAGTGCTTGCCACCATGCCTGAGTGCCTGGGTTTGATCAAGGCACAACAAAAAGAACCACAGACCAGATGTGAGAAGAGTGAGTTAAGAAGATTCAAAAAGCCAGGAATAGTGGCACATGCCTATAATCAGGCAGGTGGATTACTGCAAGTTCAAGGCCAGCCCAGGCTAACTAGTGCATTCCAGGCCAGCCTGAACTACATAGTGAGATCCTGTATCAAAATCGAACCTTAAAAAACAAACAAACAAACAAAAAAACCAACCTTACCTTCTGCAATGTCTGAGCATGATGTGCCAATGGCTGTGTCCCCACTGTCAGCTATACTTGAACAGCGGCTGAAGCGGTTCCGAAAGGCCTCTGAGAGAACTGGTGTCTGCCATTCAGTCCCCAGGGAACTTCCTTTCTGAATTACATTGGAACCTGAAACAAGAGGCATTTTCCACCTTTTGTGTGAACTAGCTGAGATCATTTTTTAAAAATTGCTTAAATGTATGAGAAAAGAGCACACCATCCTTTTTTCTCTCCGCTACGCCTACTGCAGTTACTCTGAAGTAGCTGATATTAAGTGAAAATAGCATGAGATGTGAGAATAATCAAAGACAGAAGTAACACCTATGAAGAATCCAGAAGTACTGGGCCAACAAACAATTATATTTAATAGCAGCTAATTTATTAAAACCTGGAACTTTTTTACAAACACGATCTCACCTACCTAATACTTACTGGTAAGCATTATACCTGTTTACAGAGAAGAGAGTTAAGATTTGAACCCCAGGTCTTTCTGATTCCCATCCCTCCATTCTTTCCTTGGCAGGGTCTTTTTTTTTTTTTTTTCCTTCGAGAAAAGATCTTGCTAAGTAAGTAGTTCAGGCTGGCCTTGAACTCACAGTGATCCTCTTGCCTCAGCCTCCTGAGTGCTGGGATTACAGGTGAGCACCACCACAAGCAGCCTTAAACTCCAATTTTAAAGAGGTATTTGTTAAAATAAAAATGTATTTGGGGGCTGGGAAGCAGTTCAGTGGTAGAGTCTTGCCTAACATGTGTGAGCTCCTGGGCTGGATCCCCAGCACCACACACACACACCAAAAAGCTTTGAGATATTTAGTATAGAGGCTTGTGCTTATTTCAAAATTTAAGTCCGACAGTTCATTTTTTTGATTAATTAAATTTTATCTTTTAAGAGACAAGCTCTTACTACATTGCCCAGGCTAGCCTAGAACTCCTGGGCCCAAATAATTCTGCTGCCTTAGCCTCCTGAGCAGCTGGGATTACAGGTATACATCAAATGCCCAGTTGCCACTGAAATTATTTTTTTTATACCATATATCCTATCAGTATCATTCCTATCAGGCTAGGGATACAGCTCAGGCATTGCCCATGTGCCTAGCATGCTCAAGGCGCTCAAGGCCCTGCATCGGAAAGACAAAAGCAGCATCCTTATCAAATATTAAGACCTTTCTTTTGTCGTAGCAAAGCCTTTGTTTCTTTTCTTTTTTTTCCCCACACTGGATATAGAACACAGGGCCTTGCACATGCTAGGCAAATGCCCTACTAGCAAATTATAGTCACAGCCCTTTTTACTTTTGAGACAAGGACTCACTAAATTGCCAAGGTTAGCCTTGAACTTGTGATTCTCCTGCCTCAGCCTCCTAAGTAGGTGGAATTGCAAATATTGTTTCCTACCGTCTGGCACAAAGACCATCATTAATTTGAAAAAGATACTGATGAAAAGAGACAAAGTTATCAAAGAGCCAGGTAGCTATTAAAAACTGCTATATCCAAAAACTCTTGTCTCTGGGCATGGTGGCACATGCCTGTAATTCCAGGAAGGGATTTGAAGGCTGAAGTAGGAAGATTGCTGTGAGTTCGGGACCAGCCTGGGCTGCATACTGAGTTTCAAGGGCTGGCTGAACTACATAGCAAGACTGTTTCAAAACAACTACATAGCGAGACTGTGTCTCTAAACAACAACAACAAAAACAAACAAAAACCTCTCATTAACAGTTGGGGGAAAAAAAGAAAACAGTTGGCACTGTGGTGCACCTGCAATCCAGCACTTGAGAGGCTGAGAGAAGAAAATCACCATGAATTTGAGGCAAGTCTGAGTTACATAGTGACTTCAAGGTCAGTCCGAAATACGTAGAGACACTGTCAAACAAACAAACCCACCAAAACTCAAAAAAGCCCTCCCACTGCATACATCATTATCATAAGAAACTACAATCTAGGTGATGCGTGCCTATAATCCTAGCCTTGATTGTTGTGAGGTCAAGACCAGCCTGGGCTACAAAGTGAGCTCAAACCCAGCCTGCATAGCGAGACCCTGTTTCAAAAAGACAAAAAAAGGAAACTACAATCTAGCCTTAAGATAATGCGTGCCGCCAGCTGTGTCGGCACACGCCTGTGATCCTAGCACTCGGGAGGCTCAGGCAAGAGGACTGTTGTGAATTCGAGACCAGCCTGGGCTACAAAGTGAGCTCAAGGCTAGCCTGAACTACACAGTGAAACCCTGTCTCAAAAAGACCAAAAAAAAAAAAGGACAATGCATGCCATACAGCAAACAGTCAATAAATACTTACCGAATGAATCTTTGTACATGTGTATGATACTAGGGATTGCACTCAGGGTCTTCACATTCCCAACCCTTTTTTTTTTTTGGTACCAGGAATCAAACTCAGGAGCTCATTCTTGCAAGGCAGGCGTTGTGCCACTGAGCTATATCCCTGGCCCCCCTGCTTTTTTATTTTGAGACAGGGTTTTCACTACATCAGTAAGTTGCCCAGGCTGGGCTCAAACTTGTGATTCTCCTGTCTCAGCCTCCCAGAGTACTAGGATTACAGGTGTTTACCACCATGCCAGAGGTGCTGAGAAAATCCTGAATTGATTCAACAGTTATAACATTGCCCTCTATATGAAAAGCAGCAGCCTAGGAGAATTATCACAAGTGTATACTACATGTCGTCATGAATAAAGCACTGTGGGATTTTAAAGTTCAACAAACCTATACTTGGTTGAATAAAATCTGTCTTTTTTCTTAGCTCAGCACAGTGGCACAGGCCTATAATCTTAGAATTCTGAGAGGTTAAAGCAGGAGGATCACAAGTTTGAGCCCAGTCTGAAAAACTTATGGATTTATCAAGACTCTGCTGTATCAAAATAAAAAAACAGGCCAGGATATAACTCAGTGAAAAAGCCCTGGATTCAATCTCCAATAAGGCACAAAGACAAAAAAAGAAAGAAAGAAAGAAAGAAAGAAAGAAAGAAAGAAAGAAAGAAAGAAAGAAAGGTGTAGTGTTTGTTTTTTTTTTTTTTTTTTTTTGTCCTTTTCTTAATACCTCAAAATTTTAAGATCTCTTTTTTTTTTGGTACTGATAATCAAACTCAGGACCTCACACTTGCCAGGAGGGTGCTGTGCTACTGAGCTAAATCCCTAGCCAAAATTATTTTTAAAATCTACTTATTTGAAATACACCTCATCTATTGAATGTCTACATATATATTTGCTTTGGATACTCAGTATATCTATTGAGCTCTCAAAATCTTTTTAAAAAATTTCTATTATTACATGTTTGCAATACATAATAATTACATTCACCATAAGGACTTGACACATATTTACAGTACATCTTAATTCTTTTTATTTCCCCTTCTGTCCATCTCTTGTTCCCCTTTCTCAAAATCTTCTTAATCTACTCTTGAGATAAACTTCTGAGTCTCCTGTGCCAGCACAAGAGACTGCTGGCACCCAAGAATTCCAATCTTTGTGGGCTAGCAGATGACTGAACAACCCAGAGGACTACAAAGACAACACAGAACACAGTAATTTATGCTATTCTTCTAATTTCAAATGGAACTATGTCCCAAAGTTATTCTGTTCTAATTCTTCATGTGTCCTCCCCTCCCAACAATCACATGGTCTTGCTGGAAGCTATGGAGGACCAGAGATAGATAAATGTTGCCTCAGAGAGACCTGTTTTTATATTCAGTGTAGCCTCATGTTACTTGTATCTCTGAGTACCAGCATTTCAATGAATGCTTCTATACTCAGTATTTCCCTTAAGGAACATGAAATATAAGAAAAGTCAGAAATTAATCCAGACCACTTTGACTACTCACCTGGTGAAGTGGCATGAGGCATCCTCTCATTTGGGTATTTCTCCTGCATGGCCATGTAAAATTAAGGAATAACTGTAAAATTAAAGAATAACCGATCAGCTCTCTCTAATATCTTAACTTCCTGTAACTCAGTTCCCATTCAGCTGAAACTGTCAAACTCATTCTGAGGCTATATGAATTCACAAACTCAGTTCTTCATATTACAGTTTACTCACTCTCACAACATGCTTCTGACAGCAGACTGAGGGTCGGGGGTGTACTTCCCTCCCATATCACACAAGCAGTTCTGTAGGGAACACCAGCCAGGTATCTTCTAACTCAATTATGACACTAACTACCTGGAGATAGTGTCAGATTCCACAGACTACCCCACCTCAAGTACCAACTATGATCTTCCTCCCAGTTGTTTTTCCTGTGCTTCTGAACAAGAAGCTATAAATTAGGGCTCCTAGCCAGGCATAAGTGGCATATCCCTGTAATCCAGCACTTTGGGAAACTAAGGCAGGAGAATAACAAATTGGAGCCCAGTGTGGGCAACTTAATGAGACCCTATGTCAAGGAAGGGGGCACCTCAGGATGTAGCTTAGTGTTAAAGCCTTGGGTTTAATCTCCAGTATTGCAAAAACCAAGAACTTCCCATGACTCCCTCCTCTTTGGGTGCCACTAATTTGCTAGAGTAGCTCACAGAACTCAGGGAAACACTTCAAAAGTATTGGTTTATTGTAAAGGATATTACAAAGAATACAGATAAAGATACACAGGGAAAAGCATGTGGGTCATGTTATGCAGCTTCCATGCCCTCTTGGCTATGCCCATCTCTACGAACCTCCTCCACATGTTTAGTTTTCCAGAAGCTCTCCCAACCTTGTCCTTTTGGGTTTTTATGGGGGCTTCTGACCAACTAGCTATATTATTATTTAGGCAACTCTGATTAAATCACTATTCAACTTAACCTTTGGCCACTACCCTCTCCAAAAGTTGTGGTTTCCTCAATCCTCAAATTCTGTCTTCTTTCTAGTGACCAGCTCCCATCCTGAAGCTACCCAGGATGGCCAGCCAACAGTCTTATTAGCATACAAGGATTTTATGGTTATGCCAGGAAACACGACAAAGAACAAATACATGTTTTACAATATCACAACCATATAGAGTATTCAAGTGCTCACATTTTTACTCCTCAGGGTATTTTTAAAAAACAAACAGCCAAGCATGCTGGCATATACCTGTAACCTCAGCCTTTGGGAGGCTGAGGCAGAAGGATCACTCTACGTTTGAGGCCAGCCTGAACTACATGGCAAGACTCTGTCTCAAAAACCAGAGAGGCGGGGCATGGTGGTGCTCGCCTGTAATCCCAGCACTAGGGAGGCTGAGGCAGGAGGATCACTGTGAGTTTGAGGCCAGCCTGGGCTACAAAGTTCAAGACCAACCTGAATTGCATAGTGAAACCCTATCTCAACAAAACAAAACAAAACAAAACAAAACAAAACAAAGAGACAGATACACAGATAGATGGACAGACAGAGAGAGACATAGGGACAGGGAAAGAGGGAGAGAGAGTGAGAAAAGTAGGGGAGGATACTGAGAGTTGGCTCTTATCCTACTTCTCTTCCTAAAGCAAGCAGAGAAAACCCAGAACCAGATTCCCAATAATGGATCCCAGAACACAGAAATTCTGTTACAACATCACAAAATAGTACTACTTTTCTTGTTTGGTTTTTTGGGGGTTTTTTGGGTCTTTTTGAGGTAGGGTTTTGCTATGCAGTTCAAGCTGGCCTTCAGCTCACTTTGTAGCCCAGGCTGGTCTCAAACTCCCAACGATCCTCTTGCCTCAGCCTCCCAAGGGTTGGGATTACAGGCATGCACCACCACGCCCAGCAATAGTACTACTTTCAATTAAACTTTCCCATGGAACTTCTTAGCCATGGGATACCTGATGGGAGGGGTGGGATGCAGAAAGAACTAAAGAAACAAACCAACAGTGAAGTATTATAGCCACAGTTATGATTAACATAAATAAAGCAAACCCCAGATTACACCAGTAATGAAAGCTACATGTTGCACAGAAATCTTGGTCACAAGTACTCCAATACTTAGCTGGGAACACGTATTTTTCTTTCCATTTCCCCATCTCTTAAAACATTTTATGTTTAAGGATAGAGGCTTATAATTCACCACAGACTAATTACTATATATAAGTAAAAGCTTCAGCTATAACTAGCAAGGACAAACAGTATCTTGTATTTTCATACTTAAGAGACTATACAGTGAAATTCAGAGCACGACCTCAGCTCTGACTTGATTTAAAGCCCGAACAAATAAGCCTGAGCACACTAAACTTCCAGTTAGCAATTTATTAGCTGTGTAATCCAGGGCAAATTTCTTAATGTATCTGTGCCTCAGGTTCTTCATATGAAAATGATGAGTAGCTGAGATCACAGGATTACAGGTTGTACACCACCACGCTGGGCTAAGAGGTATGAATTTAAACTCTGAAATAATAAGCACTTCAAAAGAATTTGGGACAATTCACAGAACAATTTTTAGGGGGTAAATTTAACTTTGAAAGGAATTTTTAAAAGGTTAAATAGTACTAATTCTCTAATGTACTTTACTGACCTCTACAGTTTTATCTTAGTAACAACAACCCCAATCAGTGGTCACTAATTCACTGCATCCATAACAGATATGTTACCATTCTCCAAAATCTCACTTCTTTACATTCATGCACAGAAGGTGAAAGAAACTTTGCTCAGTAATAAAATCTTCAATTTACGGCTAGTATCATTTATGGCTAAACAATCTATAACTAAATGACAACACAGGATGATTACCTACCTACTAGTGATTCCTTTCCTATCAAAATCCCTTCCTTGCTAGGCTTGATGGGAGTAAGTGTCAAATCCCAGCTACTTGGGAAACTGAGACAGGAGGATATTGAGCTTGAAGTCAGTCTGGGCAATAAAATGAGACTGTGTCTTAAAAGTAGAGGAGTGGGGTGGCATTTGCAGCCCAGTATGGTGGTACCTGCCTGTAATCCCAGCACTCTAGGAAGGTGAGGCAAAAGACTGAAGTCCAACCTGTATAACTTAGTGAGATTCTGTCTCAACAAAAGAAAGGAGAGGTAGCTGGGGTTGTGGCTCAGTGTGAAAATCCTGGGTTCACTCCCCAGTACCACAAAATAACAAAGCAAACAACTGGGAGGCTGGGGCAAGAGAATCACAAGTTCAAACCCATCCTGGGCAACTTAAAGATATAGGGAGACTGTCTGAAAGATAAAAAAATTTTAGAATGAGCTGGGGATGCAGCTCCGTGGAAAGGTCCTGAATTCAGACCCCAGTACTGCAAACCTCTTTCTTTAAAGATTAACAAGATAATAGACTTTTCCTAAATTCAGATGAGTTGTGAATAAGGTGACAAGAGAACTCTCAGTTATGACTCTAACTCTATTCTTAGGTACACAGTGATCCACCTATACCCATTAAGGATTGGTTCTAGAAACTCTTACAGATACAAAAATCCACAGGCTGGGAGTGGTGGTGCACTCCTGTAATCCCAGCATTTAGGAGGCTGAGGCAGGAAGATCTTTTCGAGTTCGAGACCAGCCTGGGCTACAAAGTGAGCTCAAGGCCAGCCTGAACTGCACAGCGAGACCCTGTCTCAAGAAGACACACACACACACACACACACACACACACACACACACACACGAAATCCACAGAAGCTCATGTCTATTACACACAACAGCATAATAATTGCATATAATACCTATACTCCTTTAAGTTATCGCTAGAGGCTAGGTACCATGCTGCAGGCATGTAGTCCCAGCTACTAGGAAGGCCAAGGCAGGAACAAGGAGGCTGAGGCCAGCCTGGGAAACACAGTAAAAGACCCACTCTCATCTCCCACATCTTAAACATCATCATCATAATATCTAGATTATTTGTAAGACCTAATAATATGAATGTTGTGTAAATATTGTTTTACTGTACTATTTAGGGAATGAAGAAAAAAGTCTGTACTGTACATGTTCTGTACATATGCAATCCCCCTTCCCAGTATATTTTCAGTCCACAGTTGGTTGAATCTATGGATGCAGAACTTACAGATACAGATATAAAGGCTGTGTATTCATGAGAAATGAACATATATGTTCACACAAAAACATTTAAGTGAATGCGAATAGCAGCATTTACAACAGACAAAAAGTAGAAGCTTTCTACAGTTGCATAGGCCTATAATCTCAACACTCTAGGAGGCTAAGGCAGAAAGGTATAAGTTCAAGTCCAGTCAGGGCAATTTAGCAAGATCCTGACTTAAAATTTTTAAAAAAGGGCTGGGGAGCTGGGCGTGATAGCACATGCCTGTAAGGATCAGGAGGCTGAAGCAGGAGGACCACCATGAGTTTGGGGCCAGCCTGGGCTACATAGTGAGTTAGTTCAATGTCAGTTTGGAATACATAGTGAGACCTCATCTCAAAAACAACAACAAAACAAAGAAAAAGAAAAAAAGGCGTGGGGGGGGGGCTGGGAGCATAGTTCAGTGCAAAGGTCCTGGGTTCAATCCTCAGTACAAAACAAACAAAAACCCCAAAAATGTATATCAACTGATGAAAGGATAAAAAAATATGGTATATACCCATATGATAGACTATTATTTGGCAATAAAAGGAATAAAAAACTGATATATGCTACATGGGTGAACATTAAAAATATGCTAAATGAAAGAAGTCAAACACTGAAGGCCACATACTGCATGATCCTATTTATATGAAATGTCTAGAAAAGCCAAATCCATAGAGACAGCAGGTTACTGGTCACCCAGAAATGAGAGGAAGCAGGTGATGGACATAGAGTGGCTGTTTACGGATATAGGTTTCTTCTCTGGGTGACCAAAATGTTTTGGGATTAGAAGGTGGTAACAGTTGAACAACTTTGGGAACATACTAAAAACTACTGAATTAGACACATATAAAATGTATTTTATAGCATGTGAATTATACCTCAGTTATTTAAAAAAGTACTCCCAAAGCAATATAGACTAAGTCATTCTTGACTTTTCCCTACTAAGCTCAGAATTAAATGAGCAGCTAGTGGAGATTTTTAGGACCAACTGAAGGACAGATGTTCTAGGATAAAAGTGAGAAAAGTGGGTATACAAGAAGCAATATGAACAACCAGTTACATAGTTTAAAAGGCAGAACTGAATGGAAGCAGACAAGACAAAAAAAAGTTTGGTTTCTATGTTCAAAGCCCTTTCCACTACCGCAATATTCATTTATTTAAAAAAAATTAACACGTATTTAACAATTACGATCAGGCACAATGCTACACATTTTATAGGTATTGTAGCTCATGTTTAATACAACAACCTATGAGACAGTTACTATATTTTTTGTTGTTGTTTGCTTTTGGTTTTGTTTTTTGGGATAAGGTCTCACTACATAGCTCAGGCTGGCCTTGAACTCACTATGTACACCAGCCTTGCCCTGAACTTGCAGCAATCCTCCTGCATCATCTTCCCCAGTGCTGGGATTACAGGTGTGCACCACTGTACCTGACAAGGCAATTACTATGATTATCCTCATTTTATGAGTAACAAAGGTTTAGGCTGTCAAAGAGCATACAACTAGGAAGAGGCTTCAAAGCCAAAACTGTGATTGAATGCTTTAAGAGCTTCGTCAGCATTCTTTCTGTGTATGACAAAACACAAAAAGAGAAATGAAGGAAGTTACTAAGGCACCACAGGTCAGAGTTTCTGACTTAGATACCCAGAGCTGCTAACCTCAAAGTTAGGAGCAGCAATAATCATATAATTCTCATTCCACCCTTGTTCATTACCTAGGTTCTATTTACTAAATTGTTAACCAACAATTGGATTTTGCCTGTTAAAAAGTATTTCTCCTCTTGAAGAATTACAATCTTGGGTGGAATGTCACACACAGCAGCTGCTGAGAGAACCACATGAAGACAGGAGTGGATTTGAAAGGATATACAAGCAGCTGACAGATACTTTAAGAATCTCACACCAAGCTGGGCGTGGTGATGCACACCCAGCACTGAGAGAAATCACTGGGGAGAAGAACTGCCAAATTCAAGCTCATCCTAGGCACTTAGCAAGCCCCAGTCTCAAAACAAAAAAATAAAAATAAAAAAGGGCTGGGGATGTAGCTCAGTGGAAGAGCCTCCCTGGTACTGAAAGAGAGGGAAAAAAAGAAAAAAGAATCTCAACCAACATATTATTCATGGCCTTGGTTGCTCATTAAACAGACCTAGTGTAAAAGAAGATAAATCCTTGCCAAGAAGCTATCTTTACAAAGAACAAGTCTGTGATCTTTCTGCTTTAGCCTCCTTAGTGCTGGGGTTACAGGCATGCACCATCACACCAGGCTCCAGGTCAAGGTATCGTTACCCTAATGATCCTTAACCTAGCACACTGTATTTAATTCATCAACCAAATTTTACTGAGCACCTACTATCTGCCTGGCCGTTTGTGCCTCACGCCGGAAATGTACTGGTGTAAAAGACAGTTCTGTTCCTCCTGGTTTACTGAGGTGAAGCACAGAAAATGCTGCGTTAGACAAATATACCTGAACACAATGAACTACCAGTTCATCCAAAGCGCAAGCTCCTCTTTGCTTGGCAATGCCCCGCTTCAGCACTACTGACACTCTCTGATTCCGTGGGGAGAAAGGAGGCTGCCCCGCACACTGCCTGATGCTTAGCAGCACCCGGGCTGCTTTGTATTAGATATCAGCGGCCACAACTCTGAGCTGTGCCGACTAAATATGTCTCCAAACACGGTCAGATACCCCAGGAAACAGAATTCCCCCGGCTTAGAAGCGGCGATCTAGCGTTTTCCCAAGTGCTCCCTGTGGCCCAGTCTGATTTTTCACTCTGTGGTACCAAGGACTGAACCTAGGGAGCGCCGGGCAACATCCCCAGCCCTTCTGATTTTATTCTGAGGCTGAGTCCCAAGTCGCCCGGGCCGGCCTCGAACCCGCTATGCTCCGAGCTCGGTCCGCGGAGCGGATGGGATTTCAGAGCGGGCGGCCGGTCCCGCCACCACCGGGCCTGCAGCCAACCTCCGCCGCGCGTCCCCAGGGGCCGGCTCCCAGGCCGCCGTGGCGTGAGTCTAGGGATCGCCCAAGTTCTGCTGTCCCCAGTCTCCCCCCCAGTTCATCTTTACGACGGGAACAGCTCCCCGCCCCCGTCCTGGGGCTCGAACGCGGCTTCCCGCACACCAGGCAAGCACGCCACCACCCCGGTCCCGAGGACTGGCGCCTCGGCTTGGGAGACCCCCATCCTGCGCTGACCCGGCGCTGAGTAACACTCGCTCAGCGTCTAGTCCTCCCCGGGGACTGTGCGCTCCCCGCGGGCGAGGAAGGCGGCGCCTGACAGAAACGCTGCGGAGGGAACGACACGGGCAAAGCACGACCACCAGAAGGGCAAGCGGCCGGGCCACTGAGGGTCTGGGGAGGGCAGCATTTTACGAGGCTGAGGCAGGGAAACCCGATGGGGGGGCGGATTACGGTTTAGCCACTGTGCGCATGCGCGCTCCGCCGTCCCGCGTACCCCACGGAGGCCGGTCGTTTCGCCTGAGCTACGCACGGCAGGGCACGGTGTGCTTCTCCGACTGGGGCCCCGAGGAGAACTTACGCGGACTGAGAGCCGGCGGCGAAACCCCTCACTCAGGGATACTGCCTGCGGCTACCACGTCTGCCTCGGGCGGCGGTTGCGTCTCTCAGCTTGACTAGCGGCCGTTACACGCGCGCCAGGCCGCGCACCCAAGAGCGCGCGCCCCCCCAGCCCCGCCTCTTTTTTTTCCTACCTCTGACCAATCAGGAGTCAAGCCGCGTGAGTCTCCCGCCCTTTTTTGCGCACCGCTGACAAATCACGAGTGCAGCCGTGCCGGCGTCCCGCCCCTGCACGCTGTCCTCCGCGCCCGCCAGCCCAGTCGCTCTGCGCATGACCCCGCCGCCCCAGAGCCTTCTGCTGCGCCGAATGAAGTCCTACCTGGAGCTGGAGGCTGGCTGCCCGGGCCGGAAAGGGCCACTGTGCCTGGGCAGTCGCGAAGGGCACGTGGGAATCCCATCCTCCTCCCTTCCCACTGCCACCTATTTGTTCGCCCTCTTGAAGCGAGTGCTCTGATTGTGACCAGGGTTTGGGGTGGCTCCTGGGCCACTGGCCAGTCAGGGTTAGGGCTTAGTCTGTGATTGGGCTATCAGTTTGATTGGATAATGAACTTGGATGTGACAAGATGGATGAATTTAGGGGTTAGGCGCTGAAATTAGGACCTGTTGCCTGGCGTGGTGGCGAACGCCTGTAATCGCAGCATTCAGGAGGCTGAGGCAGGAGGATCTCTGTGAGTTCAAGGCCAGCTTGGACTACGTGGTGAGTTCAGAGCCAGCCTGAACTAGGTAGCGAAACCCTGTCTCAAAAAGAAAAAAAACAAGCAAAGCAAGAAGTTAAGACCTGTTAATATCAGTGTTAAGCCGGCTGTCTGAAGGATTCCACTAGGGACTTTCAAGCCCTCACAGTTCTTGAGTCTTTAGTCGTTGTCGCCGCCCCTCACCACCGTCGAGGTGGCAGAAGGTTGAGTGTCCCCACTTGATGGCCTCCATTTCTTTTGTGAGGAGTTAGGGAATAGGGACATGTAGAAGTCTTGAGAAGAACGGGAAAGATTTGAAGAAATGCAGAGAGTGAAGAGGAAAGAGTTCAGATTTAGATTTATAAATGGCTGCCAAGAGTTGTGGTGCACTCCTGTAATCTGAATTAATGGGGAAGCTGAGGCAGGAGGCTCTCAAATTCTTCAAAGCTGTGCTGCCAGGCGACTTACTGAAATGCTACCTCAAAGAAAAAGAAAAAGAAAGAAAGTCTGGGGATGCAACTCAATTGTAGAGCACTCCCCTCCAGGCCCTGAGTTAAATCCCCCATGCAATAAAAGGTACCATTTGTACAGTTTTCTTCAGTGGTTATCTATAGTATAAAAGTAACTCTGTTATCTACTAGAAATTTTCAAATATGAATGAGTCCTCATGTATATTTTAATAGACTTTGGCGCTAATTTCAGAGAATATTCACAATCAATTTTTAGGTATTCTTAAATCTTCAATTATTATTTTTAAAGGACTTGGTGCACATTTAATAAAATATATCAAATTCCAGTACTCTGGAAGCTGAGGCAGGAGGATTGTTGCAAGATTGAGACCAGCCTGGGCTACAAAGTGAGCTCAAGGCCAGTCTGAACTGCATAGCAAGACCCTGTCTCAAAAAGACCAAAAAAAAAAAAAAAAAAAAAAAAATCAGTAAAAGTATATCACCTGACATGACTGAAAGAAAAAGGACTGGATTTGGCCAGATATATCCTTTTATCCCAATATAAGTGTAAGTTAGTTATGGTTAGATCTACCGCTTTCATGTGCAAAATATTGCCTGGTAGATTATCGTATAAGCATCTGTTATACAACACCAAGTCTTCTTGAACATGGTCAACTAAGTTTAAGTTCAGTAGCTTCCTTGTTCACTTAATTTTGTTTGTTTGTTTTGTTTTGTTTTCTTGAGGCAGGGTTTCACTATATAGGTCAGGCTTGCCTTGGACTATGTAGCCCCTGCTGGCCTCAAACTCGCCCTCATCCTCCTGCCTCAGCCTCCTGAGTGCTGGGATTTCAGGCTTGCACTACCACACCTGGCTCAATTTTCTTTTATTCTAGTTTCTTTTTTAGATATTTAAGCACATTATAGTTGACATTTTGCCCTTCAAGGTGTCTTTTAAATTTGAAAATAAAGGCAAGAAGCGCTTCACTAGAAGGGCTTTTTTTTCCTCTTCCCTAAGGTGGTGTAATATACCCAGCATTCACAATTTAAAGGAGAGGTTTAATGGAGTTAGAGGATTCAGTCCAGGGCCAGCGGCTCCAGGCAGTAACAGCACGGTGAGAGGGCATGGCAAAAGAAAGCTGTCAACCTATAGCAGCCAGGAAACAGAGAAGGGAGGAGCTGGGAACAAGAGTTACAGCCTTCCCGGTCAGGTCCCTAGTGGCCAGCCCTCTCCTATGAGGCCCTATCTCCAACTAAGAGATATTTAAGGAACATTTTAGATATAAAGTACAACGTTAAACCATTAACTAACAAAATGTTAAGCTTGTTAAATTTGGAGACTGGTGGTGTAGTTCAGGAATAAAGCACTTCCCTGCCATGTTTCAGGGTCCTAGGTTCACTCATAAGCCCTGAAAAAAAAAAATACTTTTAAATTTAACTTTTTTTTTTTGAGACAGGGTCTCACTATGTAATGCAGGCTGACCTTGAGCTCACTTTGTAGCCCAGGCTGGCCTGGAACTCGCAGCAGTCCTCCTGTCTCAGCTTCCTGAGTGCTGGGATTACAGGTGTGTGCCACCACCCCTGGCTAATTTAACTTGCCGGTACCAACATTTTTCCTCTGAAATGTTATATTACTATGATCATGTATACCAATAAAAACGGTATTTCAAAAATAAAACAGAAAGGAAAAGAAAGAAAGAAAGAGAGAGAGAGAGAAAGAAAGAAAAAGAAAAGAGCAAGGGAAAAAGCGAAGGATCTTCCTGTGCTTTGGGGAATTGTGCCTCATGTGCAGGTCTTACCTCTGCCGCCACATAAAGCCTGTGCTGCGTCCTGGGCCACACCACCCTGTACTGCACTGTCTGTGAGGTCAACGCCTGGGCCTTGTGTGCTGTTGTCTCCCTGGGGCCTAAAATAGGAACAGCTATGTAAAAGATTCCATTTTTGAATGAATTCATGATAGTAGCACAACACTGCTGTCTATATCTGTCTTCTGCTATGAAGGGGGAAATAATGAAGGAGTCAGATGAGAAGACGTGGGTAATACCATACGAATATATTTACCCCTCATTGTGGAATTGCATAGTTCTTGCAACTATAGGGGGGATTAAGTTGAATTCGGTGGGCATGTTTCAGGATCTGAACTTGAGCATAAGCGGTCCTTAATGAAGCTCTGAGCCCTGTAGTTCTCAAATCTGCAAAGTGGGGAACATAATATTTAATATGGTTGTTGTTATTGTTGTTGTTGTTTGTTTGTTTTTGTTTTTTT